AGAGTTCACCCAAGCAGGAACCATCCCCGCACCAGCGTAAATGAGACCGTCAGGGTGACAGACCACTGGTGCGGGGCAGAGCAAGCAGGAGGACGCTGGTGCTCTCCTGCATCCCTCCAGCAGCAGCCAACGCCTGGGGTGACATTTGCTGCCAAGCAGAGCAGACCTGTAACAACCACCCGCCCCGGTAAACTGCCTCCTGATCCCAAATCTGCATGCAGAAGGGATGGAGCAGGTGAAAAGGATCTTCTTGCCCCCTGCCAGTGGGATGAAATGTGGGATTAATTAAAATCCACTGTGTACGAAGCAAACAAAGATGGTCAGCAAAGGCTGGGACACTCCCAGCCTTTCCTCTCCCAGCCTGCATGGACTTACTGCTTCCACACAGAAATCCCAGAGCTGCATCTGGCCATTAAAGCAGGAGGCCATTGGCCTCTTCACCTACTGAAAACCCAAGATCACCACCAGGAACTGCATCGTCCTATTCCCTATCCTGTGGTTATGGATTAAAGGTTCATTGTGCAAGCAAGGCTCCTGCAGCACATCCCACCCCTCCTGGTTGCGACCGTGGTGCTCTGCAGGGAGGGAAGAGGCACCCAGAAGTGACCAGGAGATGCCACGGGAGCAATGCTGACACCCCCGTGGCAGAAAACCCGACCCTGCAGCCCCAGTGGCAGCTGGGGGCAGGAATGAGCAAAGGGACGTTGTGGGAGGTGCTCCTGGTCTCAACTACGAGACAGAAACTTCTCATGGTTGTCAGGAGGCTGAGCCCCTTCCCTGTGGCTGTATGGGGCCAGGGGACCTCCAGGGCCGGTGGGACCTCCGGAGAACCAGCTACCAGAAATCAGAACACTTGACACACCAGCGAGCTGACCCCAGTGGCTCCCACCGCAGGCAGGAGCTGCGTCTCTTTCCCCTGGGAACCCAGCACAGCACCTCCCCTTCAGAGCATGTCTTCTGTCCCCCCGTGAGCCCAAAGGACAACGTGAGACAGCAGGTACAATATAACCATGTCACCTACCTGCAGCGCCCCAATTTCCTCCTAAACGCTCTCAAGACACAATGTGACCATTGACTGGCACAGGAGTGAAAAGGGAAACAGATATGCATAAGCACTGGACCAGTGTGTAAACTTGTCATTGAGAAGGAAATGGCTTAAAATGGAGGGATTTAATGGCTAGCAAACGTGATCTGAGAAATATAATCCTCTGAATGGCTTCATGGCTGCGGGCGAGCAGCAGACGTGTTGTGCAGCGATGCCATCTGCTGCCTCCAGCCGCTGGCGAGCTGAAACCTGGGGGCCCGCTCTGCAAACAGCCGCAGCGGGTTCAGGGGTGGAGGGGCACGCCGCTCATTACTTTCCGTCTTCCAAAACCTGGACTTTGTCGCCACGGATGAACTGATTAGCAAGCCAAGAACGAAATTAAGTGCTTTTACGGTAGTACCTCCACGCCGTTCATTTAAACCACTGCGATGATTTAACACTTGATCTTCCCTGATGGGGAAGGAGAGTCCCTGGTCTGCTATGTGGACTCTGCGTCCACGAAATTTCAGCCTGGGGAAAGGCTGGGATTGTTAGGAGCCATCTTGCAGGTAGGGCAGGTCGTTGCTGATCTCATCACCACTTTGTGCACTGCAAGTACTGCAAGTCCTCAGAGGAAAGGGGCTTGAGGAGTCACAGTGTGTAGATACAGATATCACGGACAGTCTTTAGCAGAGGGACAGGTTCGAACATGGCTTTTGAAAGGTGGCATTGGCACCAGACTGAGCGTGACAAGAGTTACGCTCAGTTTTTTAATTTTATTGGAGTTAAAATTAAAAATGTTAGCCAAATTCTCTAATTATACCCCTTTTTCTCCCTTATTCATATCCACATATAACAGTTGTGCTGAGATTTGGTACCTCCCTGGTGTCCCCAGCACCTGCACATCAGCCGCGCTCCCCCCGCAGGGGGGCCAAGCTGTCCCCTTGGCCAGGTCCGTGAGCATTGCCCCCTGGCACAGCGCGCACAAGGTCATGAAACACAAGGACGTTGGAATTTGCCAGTGTTATTGGTAAAATCCAGCTCTCCGGACGAAATCCTTCGTATTCCAACCCAAGCATGGAAGAAATAAGATGATACAGATGTCTTCATATCATCCCAGGGCCATCCTCCAAAGAGGCACTTCCAACACCCTTTTACTTTCAAGCCAGTGAATTTTCATATGCACTCACAGCATGCGCAGCCCCACAGCGACGTGGATGCCAGGTTTTATCAGTTCAGCAGAACATCATTTGCTTTGCAGTGCTACAACACTCGATTACAGCATCCTCTTCCCTCTGCCCACAGATGGGAAATATTTTGAGGTCAAGGCTACTTGTCCCATGAAATAACATGCCATAACTGCTGGTGTTAGGCAGCTTTCTTCCTCCCCTGTCCTAATAATTTGGCTATGGCTACAGGCTTGGCAGGCCTCAGCCAAGCCCCAACTCCAGCAATTACTGCCCTGTCCTGGTTCCCGCATCTCAGGAGCCTGCAGCTCCCCTCCAGGCTGGCCCTTGCCTCGGGATGGTTTCAGCAGCGCCGTGGTCCAGCCCCGTTGTCCTGCTGCAGCGAGAGGTGGTGGGTGGCCTAGGAGAGGCTCTTGCTCCTGGGGGACCTGAAGCAAAGCCTCAGCAGGAGCATGGACACCATGCCAGGCGGAGGCACTGTGTCCATTAGCTGGGGTCACCAAGCTTCCCCAGAAAGTGAAAACCGATTAAACAGCAGCTTGACATCGTCTCCTCTTGGCCAATGCTGAGTGCTACAGTGAGACCTGTGATACAGCGAGAGCTGTGTGACTTGGCCCTAGGATGGGTGTCTCCTTGCTCCTCTCAATTCCCCAGTCATGGAAACACAGTGCATATGGAGGAGCTTCCCTGCCCAGTCCCCAGCCTATAAAAAATGCTTCTTTTAGGCCAGAGCAATTTCTTACCAAGTAGGGATCAGCAAAGAGAGGGGAGAGGACCCCTTCTCAAAGAGACCCTTGGGTGCCGAAGGAAAGCTGCTGTGGTTGGGTGCAAAGGCCACCTCCAGGCTCAGAGGTGGCCACAGCTCCCTACTTCTTGTCCGCGTGGGTACAAAAGAGGCCCCAGCACCTGCAGGATACCCCACAGCTGCAACTGACCCCAAGGCAGAGTTTCCCCTTGGCGATGCTCAGCTGTGAGCAGATATTTCCTGGCCAGGACTTTGGGAGGGTTGGGGTTGAGCTGTTGAGCGGAGTTTGCCCGTTGCACACTTCTGTGGTGCGGCTGCCTGTGCCGTGGTGCCAGGGCTGAGCCCTGGGCTGAGGAGCTACAGAAATCTGGTAACAGAGATGGCTTTATTGGCTCTGATAGTGAAACGGTGACTGAAAATATGTAAGTATCTATATTTGTCTCTGGGATGGCCATCTACTGCCATCTCCCTCAAAACAGTACCTGAGGACTGGCACTTTGGTACCAGGGACGGTGCTGCCCCAGCACACGCCTGTGCGGAGGGAAGACTGCTGACAGCTCCTCCTGTTTGAGCAAGATGACCAGCCCAAAAACATGCTCCAGGCTCGCAGGTACAGAGTAAAGCTGGAGCCTTTTGGTCCAGTTCAACAACTCACTGATGTTGGGAAGAAATTAGAGTCCAGCTGAATTAGTCTCCAGGCTGGAGCCAGGAGAGCTCGGCTCCAAGATCAGCATCCAGGAGACAAATGTGGCCTTCCTCGATCACCGACTGAGCCTGTCCACCACTGCGGGGAAAGGAGGGGTGACGCTGGCACACGTGGCACATGCCTTGGCACTAGGAGCAAAGAGAAAGAGCATCTGTTGGTGTCTCCATGGGACCTGCACCCATCGCATGTGCTATGAGCCAGGAACCGGGCAGTGCTCACTGCCACACTGGGAGGGGGTCAGTGATGCTGGTGCTGTTTGGGGACATCCCCTGGCAGCCCTATGTGAACCGTGGCACGTGATGGGGTTGGGGTTTTCCCGCAGCTGGACCCCCGCGAGCTCATCAGGCGCTGCTCTGCCCACCCCACCAGGATCCTGCCTGCCTGGCAGGGACACGGATGTCACCGCACCACCAGGCAGGCAGCCGTCTCCATTGGAGGTGATTGACTGAAATCAGTCGGGGAAAACTGACAGAAAGTTTAGCACAGTCTCCTTGGAATATATCAAAGCAGCGTCAGTCATCTAATAGGATAAGTAACGTAAGCTGTGTTGCACAGAGGCGCGCTAATGGGATATTGCTTTATGCAGGAGACAGTTTGATGTATCTGGGCCACTGCTAACTAAATCCTCCCTGAAGTCCCCTCTTTGTGGCTCTTCTGGCTCCAGGATTAATCGTCTCTCTCCTTTTTATCTGAAAGACATGAGGCCATCGGCTGCCTGCAGCTCCCAACGCGAAGCACTGCGGGAGACCACGTTACCCTCTGGGGAGCATCAGTGGGGACAGCGCAGTGGCAGGCTCAGCCACCCCAGGGGCTGTCCCCTGCCCTCAGGTCCTGCTTTATTTATGGTGGCTCCTGCCTGCACGATGCCCAGGGAGCCAGCGCTGAGCCTGGCACTGTGTGGTCCAGTGGGCACTGGGGTGCATGGCAAGCCCTCATTTTGGTTGCTGACAGCTCCCTGAGGTGCAGGGGAGAAGCATGTCATGACCAAAGTTGCATTTAGGATCATAACTCGGGCTCGTCCTGACTTTGGAGCACTTGGGGCAGGGTTGACTTCTGGTAGTCCATGAATCCTCCCCAAAACCAAAAGTCTTCCTTGCAGAGAGTCACAGGGCAGGAGAAAGGAGGAGAAAAGAGACTCACAGAGAAGGATTGAAATGCCCTTCTGAAAGAAACCCACAGCAACCTCAGCTGCTTGTGTCTTGGGGGATAACAGGCCAAGGTGGCCCCAGAAGGACCCAAATGTCCTCCAATTTTGTGCAGCTGAGGCATGAACCGGAGAAAGATGCCCTGTTTTACACCAGTGCACAGTTAAGCAAAGCCCTGCACAGAGACACAATCTCAGAGCAGCTGCAGGACTTCCCATCAGCAGAGCTGTTTGGGTCCTTGCACTCCCCCTTACTCCGGTGCGTGCATCTCATTCCATCAAATACCCATTTCAACAAGGTGCAACATCCATTTGCAAGACCAAGACTCACGGCCCAGCAGGGCTTTCTGCTGCAGCCTGCAGTTTTGGTGCAAGCATTGAGGGCTCCAGCTGGGAGGTGCTCACAGGCTGTGGTGCTGCCACCAGCCTGGAAGAGCAGGACAGGGTAACTGGGAGGTCTGAATAGTCATGGGAGCTGACTGAGGAACATCATTGCTCAAGGTGTGGGAACACAAGAGGAAGTAGTTTTCAAGCGCAGATCCCAAGAACAGCCAATAGATCAGCAGGACAATGTGTCCAGGGATCCTGCATAATTAAAGGTCTACCAAGGGAGGGAGTAAGTGACCCAAAGAAGGGCTTTGCAAACCAGCAGGTCAAACGTCTCCAAGTCAAAGCATGTGTTTGGAAGCTGCCGGGAATGTCACCAGTGCTGCATCTCCCCAGCTGCCCTCAGGGCAAGCAAGCCGGGGCATGAGCCCCTGCTCTGCACTGCCTGGCCGTGAGCCAGACCGGCGGCACGGCCAGCCCCGTGAGCCCCACGCATCACCTCTCCCACTGCTCGCCGGCTCCTTGCTCCTGTGGGTCACCAGGTCCTCAAACTCACTCTCCAAACACGCATGTACCAGACTTGTAA